TCTGGATTGGAGGGACATGAAAAGTGGTATGTAGGCCCTTTTCTCGCATCTGACAGATCCTAGATTCATTCGCACCGGTTTTTACGCGAATTCAGCCAATTCGACACATTGGATCTCGAATGGAAAGTACTTAGCAAGCCATCAAACTTGACATAAAACCCCGTCAGTTCATCATAGATTCATTTTGGAAAGTTCAAAATCGTTACTAGAGGTCTAACACCAATGCATTGAAAAGCCTCAAATTACATAGGCCGCATCGTTGTTTCCGGTTCGAGGTTCGGTCCGGTTCAACGAAAAAATGTCCTGCTCGAACGCCGAACCGAACATTGGGTTCAGACTCAGCCATTTGCTGAACCTGAACAAAAATCGAATGGATAAAAAGCTCATAGGGTACGGTTGAGTACTCTGCCAGTTTATATATCCCCCCCCTCCTCCGAACCTTACAACCTAAAAACATTCCGATGCCTGACTCCTGCAGTCTACTCTTTCAAACACAGTGCCAAGACCTGGAAGTGCCACATTCTGCTTTCTTTGGGGAAAAGACACATTGGGCGTACAAAGCGCCGTTCTGGTTGATCCAAAGACCATTGCCGCAGCCTTCGAAAGTGAATCCACTCTGGCCATCAAGACCAAAGGCTCTTCCGCAAGGGTTAGCTCCCGCCTAGTTTAAGTGCAACATACAGTCAGAAAAACGGCAAATAAAGGAAGGATGGGAGGCTTACAGGACCAATGACCACACTATTGCACGCAGTCTTCCCAGAAACCTAGGCAACGTCATTGTCTCCCTTGGTTCCACTGTCGATAGCAATGGAGCAGCAAGACTCGAGTTACTGATAGGCAGAAGCCCAGCAGCAACAGGGGTCAATAAAATGTTTCCAATGACGGCGAGAAGGACGGTAGATACACAGATCATGATGACTTTAGAGAGCCTGTCAGTAGCTGGAACAGTGAGGACAGGGCTGAGGATCACCTAGACAAATCAAACAGCTAGATAGGATCTTTAATGAGAGCTCGGGTTTATTGAGAAGTGGAGTAGAGCTTACCTGTTTTGCTTTGAACTAAAGGAAGCGACGGTGTCTGAGATTCACGGTGGGTGAACGGGTTTTTATACGTCTCAGGTACTACGGAACATGCTATAAAAGCCGACTGATGCATGAGTGTGATATTTCTGATGTTATGCAGACAGAATCCCTGGTCTCCGAGTTGATCGCGAACATCGTCGTCGAAGGCTGAAGAATAGGACCGGGATTGATGTAATACGGAAAGTTCGGACGAAATGGATGGCCCGAATCCAGAGTTATAGATTGTTCCCCGGAGCTTTGTGCCTGACTCATTTTCGAATTGGACCCTGTTTGAATAAGCTACTAAGTGCTTAGGTGCTTGGTTAATCGCTTGGTAGCTTATTCCAACAGACCCAGGTAAGTACCAAGTTTACTCTCTATATATCTACTAAGCGCTTAGGTGCTTGGCTAATCGCTTGGTAGCTTATTTCAGCAGACCCAGGTAAGTACCTGGGACCGGGGTTGATGTAATACGGGAAGTTCGGACGAAATGGATGGCCCGAATCCAGAGTGATAGATTGTTCCCCGGAGCTTTGTGCCTGACTCATTTTCAAATTGGACCCTGTTGGAATAAGCTACTAAGTGCTTAGGTGCTTGGTCAATCGCTTGGTAGCTTATTTCAACAGACCCAGGTTTCCCAACTCCAGGAAATGTTACTATCAAGTATCTGTTTAGATGCTCAAACGCGATTCGCAATCGTGTTTGAACCGGAACCTCAGAGCGCACGAAGTCACCCCAGCTCCGACCCGTGGAAATTTTGGTTGGAATCCAAATCAAATCAGCAACACCCCCCAATACAAGTCCTTGTGGATTATCGTAAATCGCTTCAACCAAATTGTTTTCTTTCCGCATGCACTTGGCAATTGGAGAGACGGGCGTTCGGACCGCCCCGAGGACCTGACCATCTGGTACCCACCTTTTTTTGTTTTTTTTTGAGCCTACGTTCGGGTTAGTGGGTTTCTTGTATATATATATATTTATTGAAATTCATGGCAGCTGAGATCTGGGGCTGCGATTCAATTCCTGATCCATGGCACGATCCCATCGGTGTCTATTTTATAGTACCCCTCTTCTTTTATCCATCTCTTGCTCCCTTGTTCCCACTCATCACGTCCCCGTGGGTTGGACGCCCACCCTTCACGATTTGGATCTCTGCGTATCTATTAGAGAAGGTGAGGCGGTTCGATCCCGCCCGGGGCCATAATCTGAAGGCTTTGCTTTTTCATATTTTTTATCCTTTTGAATCCCTTTTAATCCTTTTCCTTTCCCGATTTCCGATTCCGAGGCATCTCGCGACTACACAGTACATGGCAGAAAGTGCGCTGTGATGCTGATGTTTGGAACATATGCACCAGCTCAGTACTACCACAAGTCGTATCTCACTCGCTGTATGTACGTTGCACGTATCCCTCCAAGCTGCACGTATCCCTCCAAACTAAGCTGTAAGGTGTAAGTAGTCGTACATTCGGATCCTCGTGGGATAGTCTTACGGATTTTATATAACTATACGGCACATAAAGACAAAGATGGACGATACAGCGTTGTGTAGCGTAGTGCATTGCGTTGCGTTGCGTTGTGTTGTGTTGCGTTGCGGTGCGATGTGTCGCATTCCGTTGGGTTGGATATATTTCTTTGAAATAGTTGTACATTCTCTCGTTCTTCCTCCCATTTACCCTCCCATTCCCTCAAATTTATTTACCCCTCCTTCACCGCCGCGTTCTCTTCGTCCTCGCAGCGAGGGACAGCGAGAAACTACTTCTTCCCCGCCTTCTTCGCGGCTGCGCGCGCGCGCGTGATCTGCTTCTTCCAGCCGTAGCATTGGTTGCAGGCTGTGCGGGATGGGTTAGCGCGTGGCTTGCATATGCGTAAATGAAAAGGAGAGAGCTACGAATGGGACGCCGAGGTGAAGGGATTATAATGGGAAAAAGATAAAGGGAACGGGAAGGTGGGAGCCGAGGAGGGGAGAAGACGGAGGAGGGGAGAAAAGGGAGGGGCGAGAGGAAGGAGGAAGGCGACGGTAGAAGGCGGAGGAGAGAAGAGGAGGGAAGGATGGGAGAGGGGGAGGGAGAGGTGAGAGCGGGGCGATGGAGAGGAGAGGAAGAGAACGGGGAAAGGGGGAAGGGATGAAAGGGGAGAGGGCCAGCCGAGCCGAGGTGGGGACGGACGGACGGACGGAGGGCGGGTCTAGGATGGGGATGGGAAGCGGAAGCGGGAACGCGAAAAGGCAAGGTGGAAGGGAGGGGGACAAGCGAGCACAAGCGCTGCAACGCGGATGCGGATGGGGATGGAAGATCCGCCGACGCGCATGCACGGCGCCAACCCCACGAGGAGCGAAAGCGAGTGGAACGGAAGGCAAGAACCAACTCACCAGCAGACGCATGCTTCTTACACTGATACACCCCATCCTTGGTCAAGGTCGCAGGCGGTGCGTCGATGCCCTCGCGGTCGATCGGGTCGAAGCCGAAGAAGGCGTCGTTCTCTTCGCGCCCGTCGAAGTTGCAGTCGGTGCACTGGATGAGTGAAGGGTGATAAGCATCATATAGCATAACATATAGAAGGCAAAACGGGGAGTGCCAGTGAGAATAGGTACGATGATGGTGACGGGCGATGGCAGTGATGATGAGGTAACGGCACGTCGACGTGGCACCCCGCACTCGCGTCATCGGGACGGGGATCGTCTTCGTATGGGCGACGAGGAAAGAGGACGACGAGGAGACATGACACTCACAACCTCCTTAAAGTGCGTGCAAAACATGGCATCGTTGATCTCGATCGTCGCAGCGGGTGGGGGCGCGGTTTCGGCCATCGGTGCTTTGCTTCGGGGAGATTACGGACACAACAAGGTACACGCGAGAGGATGCTAGAAGACGCCTCGCAAAGACGAGAACGAGGGCGATCGATAAGAGGGAGGGTGGTGGTGGGAGTAAGCAATCAAGCGCAGCTGAGCCGGCCGTGCTTATATAGGCCCGGCGTTCGGTGACTGATTGCCGTTCCTGTGCTTGATCCAATTGGGAGGTCAGCAGACGAAAGTGTTGGACAGCGGCTATTTGCGGGGTAAGTTTGATGCGTGATGCCCCGCACAGGTGATGTGGGGTAGTGCGGGGTAAATGTGGGGAATCACTTCCCTTTGCCGAGGGATTCCAGGAGTTGGGAGAGCAGGCACGGAAGGAAGGGAGGGCAGGATGGGACGAGGCAGGCGCCGGCGTTGCGTGGAGACCTCGGCGTCTACTCTGGCCATGGAAGGTTCTGGGCGTGGACAAATTTAAATTGGGACGAGACAGTCGTGTGATCAACGGCATCGGAGCAGGACGGGTCCGGATGATGGGTGACGTCAATCAATCATCGCATGGCCGTCCGCGGTTTCCCGCAGTCAAGTCTCTTCGAGTGATAAATAAACGGGAATCCTGATGCATATACTGTATTGCTTCGCAACAAACTACGGAAAGGGTTACGCGGGGAAAAAAAGAAAAAAAAAAAGAATTCCCGCACACCTTATATCCCCAGGGCGGTTCGAACGCCCGTCTCTCCATTAATCAAAGCCATATCGGATGAGTACATCGGGCTAGAGTGATTTACTGTAATCCACAGGGACTTGAATTACTTGGGTTGGTTCCTCAATGTGTCTCGTACTTTTCCTGTGCGTTCGAAAGAAAAGAGAGTAAAAAATAGATCGGCATAGAGACCACAGTGTCCCTGGGGCGGTTCGAACGCCCGTCTCTCCATTAATTTCTCTCACCAGAGCTGAATTTGAATGGAGTGATTTACTGTAATCCACAGGGACATGTATTACTCCTGTGGGTCCCTGAATATGTCTCCCACTTGTGGAAGCTATGGACTCACCTTTTCCGGTTTCTGCTCTGCACTGGCGATCTAGCATTCTCGGATCGCGTGATATGTGGCCGCTGGACTCGGACTAAAAGGTCAAGACGAACATCGAAGTGTCCCCGGGGCGAATCGAACGCCCGTGTCTCCATTAAACCAACTTGCAGATGCTGTATAGGAATGAAGTGATCTGCGTTGATCAACAGGGACCTGTATTACTTGGTCCGGTGCCTGAATGTACCCCACCAGTGAACGGAACCCCAATTGCCTTTGTCGAGACTCGAGAGCCTGAGGGTGGACAACTCCGGGTCGCAACTCCCTCAAGATATTTAAGTGGGTAGAGATATTGCAATGGAGGCGGGTGGAGGGTGAATGACACACACACACCCACCAATGCCAACACAAAGAAAGAGACAAAAACATACAGGAACGTCACAGCTCAAGTGTCCCCGGAGCGATTCGAACGCCCGTCTCTCCACTGGCAGTACTTCGTCTGCAGCATCCAATTGAATGGAGTGATCCGCCTTGATTGACAGGGACTTGTATTGGCTACACTAGCACTAGTACTGGGCCCGTGCATACAAACGATTCCAATCCAATCATTCTGTCTGGGGCGTGGTGAATGTTGTGAAGAACCAATCAATCAATCAATCTCTGTCCGGGTGAGTCTGCAATGTTCGACAATTAATGAATAAACATGAATGCGACTGATGTAGTTGACTTCGCTTCGCAACAAACTACGAAAATTAAAATAAAATAAAATAATAGAATCAACGAACTCAATGTCCCCGGGGCGGTTCGAACACCCGTCTCTCCAGTAATTCCTCTCCCAAGAACTCCATTTGGATGGAGTGATTTACTGTAATCCACAGGGACTGGTATTACTCTTTTGGGTCCCAGAATATATCTCCTACTTGTCACATGTGGAAGCTATGGACTCACGACTATCACCGGACTCTGCTCTGCATTTGATATCTAGGACTATCGGGTACTCTTGGCTCGCGTAAGGCTGCGGGCACATGGACTAAAAAAGCAAGACGACGTCGGAAGTGTCACCGGGGCAGTTCGAACACCCGTCTCTCCATTGACCATAACAACTATTTTTCCCATTTGGTTGGAGCGATCTGCGTTGATCCACAGAGACTGCTCTAGCTACAGTTGGTCCTTGCATACAAACTATCCCAATTCTGCCAGCATCGTGCGGTGAACGTTGTGTGTGATGAAACGAAGTCAAGCCAACCAATCTCCGTCCGGGAATTCTCGTGTACAGTAAAGCTGGTTCCAATCTTCGATGTCAGACACACAATGAATTAATGGGAATGCGACTGGCAACAAACACGGAAAGGGATAGGTGGGGGGTGGTGGGGGGATAAAAACCCGATTACCACGATGGTATGTCCCTGGGGCGGTTCGAACACCCGACTCTCCTTCAATTTTACGCTTCGCCTACATTATTTGGGTGGAGTGATTTACTGTAATCCACAGGGACTTGACTTACTTGGGTTGGTTCCTCAACGTGTCTCATACTTTGCCTGCGCGTTCAAAAGAAAAAAAAACAATGTATCAGTACAGACGCCGTAGTGTCCCAGGGGCGGTTCGAACGCCCGTCTCTCCAGTAATTCCTCTCACCAGAGGTGAATTTGGATGGAGTGATCTGCGTTGATCCACAGGGACCTGTATTACTTGGTCCGGTGCCTGAATGTACCCCACTAGCGAACGTAACCCAAGTTGCCGTTTTCGAAACTCGAGAGGGTGGACACTGCGGGGCACAACTGCCGCAAGATATTTAGGTGGGTGGAGGGTGAATGACACACACACACACCAATGCCGACAAAAAGAAGAGACAAAAATACAGAAATGTCACAGCTCAAGTGTCCCCGGAGCGGTTCGAACGCCCGTCTCTCCATTAACTTTGAGGGAATACTTCAGTACATGAATGGAGTGATTTACTGTAATCCACAGGGACTTGTATTACTCTTCTGGGTCCCTGAATATGTCTCCTACTTGTGAATCCTATGCACTCACGGCTATTACCTTTTCCGGACTCTGCTCTGCTCTGCACTTGAGTAAGATCTAGGATTCTCGGATACTCTCGGTTCGCGTGATATGAGGCCGCGGAGACATGGACTCGGACTAAAAAAGCAGAACGTGCGTCGCAAGTGTCCCCGGGGCGAATCGAATGCCCGTCTCTCCAGTAATTTATTTAATAACCCCCGTCAATTGAATGGAGCGATCTACGTTGATCCACAGGGACTTGTATTGCCTGTTTTGGTCCTTGAATATACTCGAACCCTCCTTGCCTTGTTCGAGGCTCGAGAGCGGATCATAGCTACTCAAATGTTCAAGTGGGCGGAACCTCGGGATGAGCCTCGGAGGTTGGTGGATGAATCCCTGCACAAGCCTAGGCAGACAAAAACAAAAAGCTGAGGCTCTGGAATCATGTCCCCGGGGCGGTTCGAACGCCCGTCTCTCCAGTAATTCCTCTCACAAGAACTCCATTTGGATGGAGTGATTGACTGTAATCTTACTAATCCACAGGGACTTGTATTACTCTTCTGAGTTCCTGAATGTGTCTCCCACTCGTGGAAGCTATGGACTCACGACTATCACCTTTTCCGGACTCTGCTCTGCACTTGAGTGAGATCTAGGATTCTCAGATACTCTCGGTTCGCGTGATATGAGGCCGCGGGGACATGGACTAAAAACGGGAATGGAGTGTTTAAAGAAGTGTCCCCGTGTTGTCTTGCCTGCGCGTTCAAAAGAAAAAAGCACGTATCAGTACCTAATGTCCCTGGGGCAGTTCGAACACCCGTCTCTCCATTAATTTCTCTCACATATATTTGGATGGAGTGATCTGCGTTGATCTACAGGGACTTGCTTTGGCTCCTGTGAGTCTTTGCATACAAGCTGAGAAAATCCTGGGAAAATGCTAGTCTGGCGCGCGGTGGATGTTGGGAGTGATGAACTGTGTTTGCGACCGGGATCTCCCGTGTGCAGCGAATGTGCAGCGTCCGACGGGTGCGCTCGCTGATACATAGACCAGAATACGGCTGATGTTCTATCCCTTTGCGACAAAAAAGGTTCCGAAAAGGGAAAAAAAAGCCCTCGACCAAAATATGTCCCCGGGGCGGTTCAAACACCCGTCTCTCCAGTAGACTCTTTCTTCCTCAAGCCAGTGGGGTGGAGTGATTTACTGTAATCCACAGGGACTGGTAGTCCCTCTATTTGACTCCTAGTTATGTATCACGCTCTCTTGCGTGTCTTGGTGAACAAAACCAAAGAGGAGAGCATGTTAAATGTTTCCGCATGCCCTGGTCGATGTTCGACAAGCCGCTGATAAAAACAGGAATGCGGCTGATACATTAGCTCGCAAGAAAATACAAAAGAAAATGGGGGAAAAAAATTCACGAACAGCCAGCTGATGTCCCTGGGGCGGTTCGAACGCCCGTCTCTCCAGTAATCCAAGGTGTGCGGAATACATCGGCTGGAGTGATTTACTGTACCACAGGGACTTGTATTACTCTTATGGATCCCTCAATATGTGTCGTACTTGTTTGGTTTCCTGCGTGGGCCGTAAATGAATTAGAAGGAAAGAAGAAATACTGAGCACAGTCGGCCTAGGGTGGTTCGAACGCCCGTCTCTCCAGTAATTTACTTAATATACCCCTCTAATTGAATGGAGCGATCTACGTTGATCCACAGGGACTTGAATTACCTGTATTGGTCCTTGAATATATCGACTGAAAATAACCCACCTTGCCTTGTTCGTGACTCGTGAGTAGATCATAGCTACCCAAATGTTCAAGTGGGCGGAACCCTGGGATGAACCTGAGAGGTGGGTGGATGAGTCCCTGCACAAACCTAGGCAGGCCAAAATAAAGAGAAAAGCGTAGCCTCTGAGTGATGTCCTTGGGTCGGTTCGAACACCCGTTTCTCCAGTAAATCAGCAGTGGAAAAGCAATATATATTAATGGAGTGATCTATATTGATCCACAGGGACATATTCTACCTATGGTGGGTCCTCATACAAACCATCCCAGTCGAGTGTAAATGCCGTCCCGGCGCGCGGTGAACGTTGGGAGTGATGAGCTGGAGTCAATCAGTCTCCGACCGGGAACTTCCGTGTGCAGCGAATGTGCAGCGTCCGGCGGGTGATAAATAAATTGGAATGCAACTGATTTAGTTCGCTTCGCAACAAACTAGGAAAATAAAAAAATTAATACAAATATTCAAGCCGGCGGTATGTCCCTGCCCGACTCTCCATTACAGCGGAGTGATTTACTGTGATTTCCAGGGCCATGCATTCCTCCGGGTGGTTCCATAATGCGTCGGACTGTCTTGCGTGCGCGCTGGAAAAAAAAAAAAAAAAAAAAAAAAAGGGAAGAAAAAACTGCGCTGCCCACATGTCCCCAGGGCGGTTCGAACGCTCGTCTTTCCATCAATTGGCCCCATCGACTTTTTATTTGGATGGAGCAATCTACCTTGATCTGCAGGAACTTGTAGTCCCTCTATTTGACTCCTGGCTGTGTGCTGCGCTACTTGTGTGTCTTGGTGAACAACCCATAAATGTTTCTGCATGCCCTGTTCGATGTTCGATAAGCCGCTGATAAAAACAGGAATGCGGCTGATACATTAGCTCGCAACAAACTACGAAAAAATTGGGGGAAAAAGTTCCCAAACAGCCATCTGATGTCCCTGGGGCGGTTCGAACACCCGTCTCTCCAAGAATTTCAACAAAACCCATATAAATTGAGCGATCTTCCTTGATCCACAGGGACTAGTATTTAATATATCCAACTTACCATTATGTAGACTATGGAGACGTCTGTCGAGCGCCTGGAAGGTTCTGGAATCGCAATAACTCGGGCGTGTGACCAAAGGCCAAGGATCTGTACGGGGCAGGCCGGGATGGGATTCCCGTTCGTAGTTAGTTTGGTGCCAATGTGCAGCGTTCGACGGGTGCGCACCCTGATAAATAAAGGCACAGGGAATGCGACTGATTTGCTACGAAAACGGAAGAGCAAAGAAAAAGAAAGAAAAGAAATTACAAGCTGAGTTATATCCCCGGGGCGGTTCGAACGCCCGTCTCTCCAGTAATTTGACTGATATCCCACTCTAATTGAATGGAGCGATCTGCATTGATCCACAGGGACTTGAATTGCTTGTATTGGTCCTTGGATATATACCCCACTCAAAGCCGCCCAAATTGGCTTGTTTGAGAGCCCGGATCGTGGCTGCCTGAGGATGAAATAAATATTCAGGTGAGGTATTGTGCAGTAAGGGTTAAGGTGGATGGACCGAATAGCAAATCAGTCCAGTCGCAATAAAAGGGGGAACAAAAAAATTCCAGGGTGAGAAACCCACATCCCTGGGGCGGTTCGAACGCCGGTCTCTCCAGTAATCTTTCTAAAACTCGATCATTAGGTTGAAGCGATCTTCTTTGATTCACGAGGACTAGTATCCAGTATATTGACTGTATCACGCTCCCTTGCCTGTCTTGATGAACAAAACCAAAGAGGAGAGCATGTTAAATGTTTCCGCATGCCCTGGTTCCGATGTTCGACAAGCCAGGCGAGAACGCTGATAAAAACAGGAATTCGGTTGATACATTAGCTCGCAAGAAACTACGAAAAAAGTGGGGGAAAAAATTTCCAAACAGCCAACGGATGTCCCCGGGGCGGTTCGAACGCCCGTCTCTCCAGTAATTGTGCCCTTCGTCTACCCTATTTGGGTGGAGTGATTTACTGTAATCCACAGGGACTCAATTTACTTAGGTTGGTTCGTCAATATGTCTCGTACTTTGCCTGCGCGTTCAAAAGAAAAAAAAAGAGAGTATCGGTACAGAGACCATAGTGTCCCTGGGGCGGTTCGAACGCCCGTCTCTCCGTTAATTTCTCTGCCAAGAACTCGATTTGGATGGAGTGATTTACTGTAATCCAGAGGGACTTGGGTTACCCTTCTGGCTCCTTCAATATGTCTCCTACTTGTCACATGTGGAAGCTATGGACTCATGACTATCACCTTTTCCGGACTCTGCTCTGCACTTGCCATCTAGGACTCTCGGATACTGTGATAAGAGGCCGCGGGGACTAAAAAGCAAGAAGTACGCCGTAGGTGTCCCCGGGGCGAATCGAACGCCCGTCTCTCCAGTACTTCCTCTTCATTTGTAATTTGGGTGGAGCGATCTGTATTTATCCAAAGGGACTTGAATTGCTTGCATTGGTCCTTGAATGGGCTCGACTGAAAATAACCCACCTTGCGTTGTTTGAGACTCGAGAGTGGATCATAGCTACCCAAATGTTCAAGTGGGCGGAACCCTGGGATGAACCTGGGAGGTGATCAGATGAATCCCTGCACAAACCTAGGCGGGCCAAAAAAACAAAACAATAGCCTCTGAGTGATGTCCCTGGGGTGAGTCGAACACCCGTCTCTCCATTGACCATAACAACTATTTTTCACATTTGGTTGGAGCGATCTACGTTGATCCACAGAGACTGCTCTAGCTACAGTTGGTCCTTGCATACAAACTATCCCAATCAAGCCATTCTGCCAGCATCGTGCGGTGAACGTTGTGTGTGATGAAAGGAAGTCAAGCCAACCAATCTCCGTCCGGGAATTCCCGTGTACAGTAAAGCTGGTTCCAATCCTCAACGTTAGATGAGCAATGAATTAATGGGAATGCAGCTGATTTTACATTAGCTCGCAACAAACTGCGGAAAGGGAGAAAAAAAGTTACAAGCCGAGCCATGTCCCCGGGGCGGTTCGAGCGCCCATCTCTCCAGTAATCTCCAAGGTGTGCGGAATATATCGGGCTGGAGTGATTTTCTGTAATCCACAGGGACTCGTATTACTCTTCTGAGTCCCTGAATATGTCTCCTACTTGTGGAGGCTATGCACTCACGACTCGGACTTCAAGTCAGATATCAACCTTTCCGGACTCTGCTGTGCACTTGAGATCTAGGACTCTCGGATACTCTTGGTTCGCGTGACATGAGGCCGCCGGAACATGGACTAAAAAGGGGGACGAGACAATGAAGTGCAGTGCCTCGGGGCGAATGGAACGCCCGTCTCTCCAGTGCTTCCTCTTCATTTGTAATTTGGGTAGAGCGATCTGCGTTGATCCACAGGGACTTGAATTGCTTGTGTTGGTCTGTGGATATATACCCCACTCACAGCCACCCGAATTGGTTTGTCTGAGACCGCGGATCGTCGCTGCCTGAGGATGAAATGAATATTCAGGTGAGGTATTGTGCAGTAAATGTTAAGGTGGATGGACCGACTGGCAAGTCAGTCCAGTCGCAATAAAAGGGGGAACAAAAAAATTCCAGAGTAAAAAACCCAGGTCCCTGGGGCGGTTCGAACGCCCATCTCTCTGATAATCGTTCCTAAAACTCGATCATTAGGTTGGAGCGATCTTCCTTGATCCACGAGGACTTGTCTCCAGTATATACGACTCCTAGCTATGTGCTGCGCTCCCTTGTGTGTTTTGGTGAATAAAACCATAATTTTTTCCCCGTGCCCTGGTTCCGATGTTCGACAAGCCGCTGATAAAAACAGGAATGCGGATTTTACATTAGCTCGCAACAAACTACGGAAAGGGACAAAAAAAGTTACAAGCCGAGCTATGTCCCCGGGGCGGTTCGAACGCCCATCCCTCCAGTAATCCAAGGTGTATCCAACCAATTGGGCTGGAGTGATTTACTGCAATCCACAGGGACTTGTATTACTCTTCTGAGTCCCTGAATATGTCTCCTACTTGTGAAGGCTATGGACTCACCTTTTCCGGACTCTGCTCTGCACTTGAGATCTAGGACTCTCGGTTCGCGTGATATGAGGCCGCGGGGACATGGACTAAAAAAGCGGGACGTACATCGGAAGTGTCCCCGGGACGATTCGAACGCCCATCTCTCCAGTAATTTACAAGATACCCCCCTTAATTGAATGGAGCGATCTGCATTGATCCACAGGGACATGGATCCCTCAGGTTGTTCCTTGGATATATACCCCTCTGAAAGCACCTTCTTCGACAGCGGTGGCCACCGTGAGTCATAGCGACCCCAGGGTAGGACAAATTTTCAAGTCGGCGGGGCCTCGGGATGAGCCTGGGAGGTGGGTAGATGAATCCCTGCACAAACCTAGGCAGGCCAAAACAAAAAGAAAAGCGTAGCCTCTTGAATGATGTCCCTGGGGTGAGTCGAACACCCGTTTCTCCAGTAATTTGGCAGTGGAAAAGCAATATATTAATGGAGTGATCTACATTGATCCACAGCGACATATTCTACCTATGGTGGGTCCTCATACAAACCATCCCAGTCGAGTGTAAATGCTGGTCTGGCGCGCGGCGAACGTTCGGGTGATGAACTGGAGCCAATCAGTCTCCGGCCGGAAACTCCCGTGTGCAGTGAATTTGCAGCGTCCGACGGATGCGCTCGCTAATACATAGACCAGAATGCGGCTGATGTTCTATCCCTTTGCGACCAAAAAGGGTCCGAAGAGAGAAAAAAAGCCCTCGACCGAAATATGTCCCCGGGGCAGATTACGCCCGTCTTTCCAGTAGACTCTCTCTCTCTGTCCCCAGTGGGCAGTGGGGTGGAGTGATTTACTCTAATCCACAGGGACTTGTATTACTCTTCTGAGTCCCTGAATATGTCTCCCACTTGTGAAAGCTATGGACTCACCTTTTCCGGACTCTGCTCTGCACTTGAGATCCAGGACTCTCGGATCGCGTGATATGAGGCCGCGGGGACATGGACTAAAAAATCAAGACAGGCGTCGAAAGTGTCCCCGGGGCGAATCGAACGCCATCTCTCCAGTACTTTGCATGCTCCCTTAATTGAATGGAGCGATCTGCTTTAATCCACAGGGACTTGAATTCCTCAGGTTGGTCCTTGAATACACTCGACTGAAAATAACCCACCTTGCCTTGTTCGAGAGCGGTGGTCATTTGTTTGAGACTCGAGGGTGGATCATAGCTACCTAGCGAGGCTTCCTAACCTTGGATTGCATCAGATCAATTTTCCACAGCATTAAACAGCTGTGTAAATTATTCTAGACACCCCAACAGACAAGTCTTTCCAAGATTCAACTTGCCAAATCACATGTCTCTGTTCTGATGTGCCACAAAGTCACTATTCTCTAAGCGGCAGGCTGAAACTGGCTTTGAATCTGAGCAATATTCCTTCCCAATCTCACCGTTACAATCAAAAATCATAAAACGGCTGCAAAACAATTGGAAAAAATGCTATTTTCCCCCTAGTTCCCACGAGTTTTGCCACATTCTGCCAGAGCAATTTCAATCGAGCCATTCTGCCTGCCATTTTGCCAGGCCAAATGGCAGAATGGCAGGATTCTGCCAACCACACTATACCCAAATGTTCAAGTGGGCGGAACCTTGGGATGAGCCTGTGAGGTGGGTGGATGAATCCCTGGACAAACCTAGGCAGGCCAAAACAAAAAGAAAAGCGTGGCCTCGGAATGATGTCCCCGGGGCGGCTCGAACGCCCATATCTCGATTGACCATAACAACTATTTTTCCCATTTGGTTGGAGCGATCTGCGTTGATCCACAGGGACTGCTCTAGCTACAGTTGGTCCTTGCATACAAACTATCCCAATCAAGCCATTCTGCCAACATCGTGCGGTGAACGTTGTGTGTGATGAAACGAAGTCAAGCCAACCAATCTCCGTCCGGGAATTCCCGTGTACAGTAAAGCTGGTTCCAATCTTCGATGTTAGACACACGATGAATGAATGGGAATGCAACTGATTTTACATTACTGCTATTTGCGGAACATAAGGCGCGGACACATTTTTTTTTCCTTTTTGGTCACTTTTTGATCCCCGCGACTAATGCCCCTCCAGAGGCCTCAATTCTTATCCGTTCCGTCCGAAACCATGCTCAATCGATCTGGAATTGAATTCTGCAGTGCTTGGCATCCTCAGATTTTTTATAATGGCTCCTCGTTTTGGTGTGTTACTTTTTGATCCTCGCGACTAATGCCCCTCCAGAGGCTTCAATTCTTATCCGTTCCGTTCGAAATCATGCTCGATGGATCTGGAATTGAATTCTGCAGTGCCTGGCATCCTCAGATTTTTTATAACGTCTCCTCGTTTCGGTGTGTCACTTTTTGATCCCTCCGACTAATGCCCCTCCAGTGGCCTCAATTCTTATCCGTTCCGTTCGAAACCATTCTCAATCGATTTGGAATTGAATTCTGCAGTGCCTGGCGTCCTCAGATTTTTTATAACGTCTCCTTGTTTTGGTGTGTCACCTTTTGATCCCTGCGACTAATGCCCCTGCATCGACAGCACTAGGCCACCAGAGGGTCCAAAATTTTATTCAAATACTCTTTCGTATATTGCACATTGCCCTGGCTAGTTATTTAGTCTGAAATATGAATGTGAGCAGTACACGAAGGCAAAAATGTGCTAATCAGCACACAATTTGTTTCTCTTGTTTCTGGGACTGCCGCGTGAGTCCCGGCAGATAGCCTATCTATTTTTGCAGTCTATGAGCTACTAGGAAGAGATTCACTCACAATTTGGGGCCCATCCCCGCCGAAAACGCGCACATTGGAGGTACGCGACGCGTCTCCGATCAATGCCATCATATTCACGTGCTGACATCGCGTAGACTTTTCACCTTCCCTCTCGCCTCCTCACTACGCTCCAGCTCTACAATGACCAGAGCCTCTAGGTCTCTGTCTGCGAGGAAGAAAAATGCTGCGGCCCTTGGCTCCCAGCCCTCTATTTCTGCTTCCAGTGAGGCCGAGTTGCTGTCGCCAGATGTCGACTTCAACAATCCTACAACGCCGCCAGACGGTGATCTCTACACTCCTGAGGACGACCCTGTAATGGACTCTGACCCAATTACCCCGCCTCCATCCCGGCCCACTAAAAGTGCTAGCCGTCCTTCGAATGACAGCGACTCTGACATTGAGGTCCCGCCGAAAAAGAAGAGCAAGAAGGTGCAAATGGCGGCGGACACTGCTAGTGACTCCGAGCCTGAGGTGCAGCCCAAAAGGAAATCGAAGAAGGCCGCAGGCAAACTGAAGACCATAGCTCCTTCGGATCGCAGTGCGTGATGGTTTTTTCTTCCACCTGTCCCGCTAAACCACGAACTCAGAGCTGGTTCTTCTTATCCCACGCGCAGAGCTTGAGGGTGATCAGCGTCAGGTTCTGACGCATGCTACCACATTCGATGATGCTCTTCATGTTATCTACGAGACCATTGGGTGTAGTGATGTCGGCGTGAAGCCGAAACTCGTCTATAAACTCAGCAATGCGACAGCGAAAGCGGGCTGTATCGGTCTCACCTCCGATGCCGATTGGGATGGCCTTCTCGACGACGTCATCGCAGCTGGGAAGAAGGATGTAAAGGTCCACATTTCCGTGACAGAGCAGGTGAGCCTCGCAACGTGTCTCTGTCGTTTTCTGTTGATCTCATACTCCCAGTATCTCGCTTCCCTTCGGGCCAAACTCGGGATCAAGCCCACGGGGCCCAAGCAGAAAGGTAAATCGAAGATCCAGATCTTGGATCTCGAGCACAAGGGTTCTGGAGACGACGACGACTTCGATGAGGGCTTGGGCATCATGGAGAAAGAGAAGCAGTCCCTTGAGCAACTCGAGACGAAACTCGGAAACTGCCAACTCTGCGGACCCGGTAAAATGTGCAAGATCACTGTTGCGGGTACTCACCACAAATTAAGTAATATTCAGGCGCGAGCCTGGGCCCACGCATTGGTATGGACCTTGTCTCTCTTTCATATACTGTTTGCCTGACGGTATTCGCCTTCACAGGCTGTCGGTACACACAATGTCACTCTTGCGACCCCTCCGAACGATGCGTTGTTCGGAATGTTCTTCAAAAATTCGAAATCTACTCCTGCCACGATGGCGGAGCCCCCACTCCCATCGTTCCCGCCGTACATGGCGATGAATCCGATGAATCCTTATGGGATGATGCCTTGGGCCATGCCCACAATGCCGAACCTGTTCCAGGGAAACCCCATGACTCCGATCACACCGACGCCGGCTCCACCTGTCGCACAGGCATCCGGTTCGCGAACTAGCCCCGCATTCCCCTCGAGCGACCCACCTGACATGGGTGCAGTGAGTCCATACCCAGAGATCACTGATTTCCTCCACGAGCTCGATGGATACCAGTCCCGCCGCCGACTGCTTGATTATGTCACCATCTTTGATGAACTCGACTTTTACAACATCGACGAGATCGCAAAGCTCAAGACTGCTCAAGAGTTGGTCAAAGTCGCTAAAATCAGCCTCGGGAATGCCACCTATATTATGGACCAGGTGAAAGCCGAAATGAAGCGTGTTGATCGCGCGCGAGTGGCATCTGCGCTCTAACTTCTCGATACTTGTATCATCACTGTCTTTACTCGGTTGTTCTCACACCTTCCTGTCTTTACTCTGTCCACACTCGTTTACCTCTCGTTCATTATTCCGAATCAATATACCGTGTTTCTGATTCAAATTTCGTCCATTTCTAATGCAGTGAGAACACCAATTAGTATCCCGAGTTCGTGAACCATCCTCTCGATGCTGCAGCAGTAACCTTCTCCAAAACACCGTACAAAAATAACACCGGTGCTCCTTCATCCCCGAGCTCCACAACATCCCGGAATGTTTGACCGTGACGCTGAATATATGCCTTGACAAAAGAAAAGGCTTCCTCGATTGGATTGAGATCCAGTGAATACGGAGGAAGGTAGACAAGTTTGATGTGTCTGTGCGATCTCAATATAACCTGTAATACAAGAAAGAATAGATAGAGACTCACGCAGCATCACACATTTCCTGTACGCCGTCAACGTGATGGATACGGCAGTTATCAAGGACGAGCACACTGTGTTTTGCGGGGTATGGATTCATCACGGCCAAGAGACCTTCGAGCCACAGCAAGAACTGGTCTCCGTTGTAGCCACCTGCTTTGATATGGCTATATATGATGCCCTCTGTCGTAAGTGCAGGCAGAAGGGAGTATCTGCACGACCATTATGTCAGTGGTTTCTTTTTTGCGAGAGCGAAGAATTTACCTTGTACCGCGCACAAAACAACAACGTTTGTGTGCACGAAGCCCGGTCAGAGCCCACCCATTTCGACGGTACGAAGTAAGAATGTTGACTGCCGATTCATCTGCGCAGACAATGCGCTCAGCAGGTTCATTGCCGATCTCCATGATAAATTCCCGGCGAGCATGTGCGCAACGCTCGGCGGCCCGGCGCGATAGCTAAAGAGGCAATTGAGGTCTCGCGGAGTCAGAGAAAGGGCATGAATAGCACACCTTTTTGGAGCCGATTCCGAGTCGATGGAGGGTCCGGCAGAGCGTAGCGAGAGAGACATCGACGTCATGCTGCACATAGAGCTGCTCTTGCATCTCATCCAAGTAAATGTCGGGTGTGTGCTCGATGAGCGCCAGCATAAACTACGACAAGTTATTTGGGCGGAATTGGTAGGAAAAAGAATCAGATACCTTGGTATTCCCAGTAGAAAGCATCGGGGCACGGCCTTTGTGCCTGCGATCTCGGCACACCTCGCCGAGCTCTGCCCAAGTTCTCTTGACGCGTTGCACCACACGTACAGGCATGTCAAGATCAATCGCAATTTGGGTGGATGTTTTACCCAAGGTGAAGGCTTGGTGGATCACCCTCATTTTGAGATCCTTCGAATATTGCCGGCGAGCTGGCTGAATCGGTTTTTTGCGGGGCATGGTAGACGGAAGAAAGACGCGTGGGATGTACATCCCGTGGCACCGACCAGTACGTGAATATGATGGCATTGATCGGAGACGCGTCGCGTACCTCGAATGTGCGCGTTTTCGGCGGGGATGGGCCCCAAATTGTGAGTGAATCTCTTCCTAGTAGCTCATAGACTACAAAAATAGATAGGCTATCTGCCGGGACTCACGCGGCAGTCCCAGAAACAAGAGAAACAAATTGTGTGCTGATTAGCACATTTTTGCCTTCGTGTACTGCTCACATTCATATTTCAGACTAAATAACTAGCCAGGGCAATGTGCAATATACGAAAGAGTATGTGCATAAAATTTTGGACCCTCTGATGGCCTAGTGCTGTCGATGCAGGGGCATTAGTCGCAGGGATCAAAAGGTGACACACCAAAACGAGGAGACGTTATGAAAAATCTGAGGACGCCAGGCACTGCAGAATTCAATTCCAAATCGATTGAGAATGGTTTCGAACGGAACGGATAAGAATTGAGGCCACTGGAGGGGCATTAGTCGGAGGGATCAAAAAGTGACACACCGAAACGAGGAGACGTTATAAAAATCTGAGGATGCCAGGCACTGCAGAATTCAATTCCAGATCCATCGAGCATGATTTCGAACGGAACGGATAAGAATTGAAGCCTCTGGAGGGGTATTAGTCGCGAGGATCAAAAAGTAACACACCAAAACGAGGAGACATTATAAAAAATCTGAGGATGCCAAGCACTGCAGAATTCAATTCCAGATCGATTGAGCATGGTTTCGGACGGAACGGATAAGAATTGAGGCCTCTGGAGGGGCATTAGTCGCGGGGATCAAAAAGTGACCAAAAAGGAAAAAAAATGTGTCCGCGCCTTATGTTCCGCAAATAGCAGTAACTCGCAACAAAGGAGAAAACAAAAAAAATTGCCAAGAGAATCGCACCATCTCAAGTGTCCCTGGGGCGGTTCGAACGCCCGTCTCTCCAATACTTCCATTGCCTACATTACTTACTTGAATGGAGCGATCTACTTTGATCCACAGGGACACATTCTACCTACTCTGTGTCCTCATACAAACCATCCCAATGAAGTAAAAAATACCGTCCTGACGCGCGGTGGGGTGATGAACCAAGCTAATCAACCGCTGTCTGAAAATTCCCGTGTGGTTCCAATCTTCGATGTTAGACACAGGATGAATCAATGGGAATGCGACTCACAACAAACTACGGAAAGGGAAAGGGAAAGGGAGGGAAAAGAAATGCCAAGGGAATAGCATTCAGTTATATGTCCCTGTGGCGGTTCGAACGCCCGTCTCTCCAGTAGACTCTCACTCTGTCACTATTGATATCGGGCTGGAGTGATTTACTGTAATCCACAGGGACTTGAATTACTTAGGTTGGTTCCTCAATGTGTCTCGTACTTTGCCTGCGCGTTCAAAAGAAAAAAAAGAGAGTGAAAAAAAGATCAGCTCAGACATCATAGTGTCCCCGGGGCGGTTCGAACGCCCGTGTCTCCATTAACTCGAGGTCACAGATTCCACGTAGGAATGGAGTGATCTGCGTTGATCTACAGGGACCTGTATTACTTGGTCCGGTGCCTGAATGTACCCTACCAGCGAACATAACCCAAATTGCCTTTCTCGAGACTCGAGAGGGTGGACAACTGCGGGTCGCAACTGCCTCAAGATATTTAGATCGGTGCAGGGTGAATGACACACACACACACACCAATGCCAACAAAAAGAAGGAGACAAGAAAATACAGGAACGTCACAGCTCAAGTGCGGTTCGAACGCCCGTCTCTCCTCTCCAGTACTCTGATCTGTCTGCCGCATCTACTACTGTACTTGAATGGAGTGATCTGCCTTGATCTACAGGGACTTGTATTGTATTGGCTACACTAGTACTGGGCCCGTGCATACAACCCATTCCAATCATTCTGGGGCGCGGTGAATGTTGTAAAGGACCAATCAATCAATCTCTGTCCGGGTGAATCTGCAATGTTCGACAGGTGATGAATAATAGGAATGCGACTGATGCATGTAGTTGACTTCGCTTCGCAACAAACTACGAAAAATAAATAAAATAAAAGATTCAAACCTGCGATATGCCCCTGGGGCGGTTCGAACGCCCGTGTCTCCATTAACTTGACGTCACAGATTCCACATAGGACTGGAGCGATCTGCGTTGATCCACAGGGACATATTCTACCTATGGTGGGTCCTCATACAAACCATCCCAGTCGAGTGTAAATGACGTCCCGGCGCGCGGTGAATGTCGGGGGTGATGAGCTGGAGCCAATCAGTCTCCGACCAGGAACTCCCGTGTGCAGCGAATGTCCAGCGTCCGACGGGTGCGCTCGCTGATAAATAAATGGGAATGCGACTGATTAAGTTGGCTTCGCAACAAACTAGGAAAATAAAAAAATTAATACAAATATTCAAGCCGGCGGTATGTCCCTGGGGCGGTTCGAATGCCTGTCTCTCCAAGAATTTCTTCAACAAAACGCATATGAATGGAGCGATCTTCCTTGATCCACGAGGACTAGTCCCTCTATTTGGCTCCTAGTTATGTATTACGCTCCCTTGTGTGTCTTGGTGAACAAAACCAAAGAGGAGAGCATGTTAAATGTTTCCGCATAGCCCTGGTTCCGATGTTCGACAAGCCGCTGATAAAAATAGGAGTGCGGCTGATACATTAGCTCGCAAGAAAATACGAAAAAAGTGGGGGGGAAAAAGATTTACAAACGTTCAGCTAATGTCCCCGCGGCGGTTCGAACGCCCGTCTCTCCATTAATTCCTCTCACAAATTACATATATGAATGGAGCGATCTTCCTTGATCCGCAGGGACTAGTACTCAATATATCCAACTTACCATGATGTGCACTGCTTTGGTGGGTTACAGACTCAATTTCAGGCCGGATACTACTCACCTTCGGCCCTCGGTCTCACTTGCTTTCTTTTCAGTCGGTTGCGCTGAGGCTCGCATGATATCCATCCGCCGGGAAATGGACTCAAAAAAGATGATATCAATCGCTGTAAGTGTCCCCGGGGCGGTTCGAACACCCGTCTCTCCACTAATTTCTCACTAGAACTGAACTTGGATGGAGTGATTTACTCTAATCCACAGGGACTTGAATTACTTAGGTTGGTTCCTAAACGTGTCTCGTACTTTGCCTGTGCATTCAAAAGAAAAAAGAGAGTAAAAAATAGATCAGTACAGACACTGTAGTGTCCCTGAGGCGGTTCAAACGCCCGTGTCTCCATTAATTTCTCTCACAAGAACTATATTTGGATGGAGTGATTTACTGTAATCCACAGGGACTGGTATTTTTTTTTTGGTGGTACGATAAATGGTCAACCGCAACTAACAATGGGTTAGCCCAGCGACCCGTAAAGGTTGTGTGTAAAGAAATTAGGGGGTGTGCTTCACCTCCCAGAGAAATGCGCACACGCACGCCCTTTTCGGGCAGTGTGGGGCTACCGAGTCACCCTATTACTCTTCCGAATCCCTGAATATCTCTCCTACTTGTGAAAACTATGGACTCACGACTATCACCTTTTCCGGACTCTGCTCTGCACTTGAGATCTAGGATTCCCGGATACTGTGATAAGAGGCCGCGGGCACATGGACTCGGACTAAAAAAAAACAAGACAAACTTCGAAAGTGTCCCCGGGGCGAATCGAACACCCATCTCTCCATTGACCATAACAACTATTTTTCCCATTTGGTTGGAGCGATCTACGTTGATCCACAGGGACTGCTCTAGCTACAGTTGGTCCTTGCATACAAACTATCCCAACCAAGCCATTCTGCCAGCATCGTGCAGTGAACGTT